AAGAGAGGATCAGGTGTTAATGTCTGGTATGGGATCATGTGACCATCTACTATATCTATCTAGATTCCACTCCTTTTACCATTCATTCTTGCCTCCAGTTTTGATGTCCTTTGTATCTCTCTCTTGGTCTCTAATACAAGTAAATAATATAAATTTTATCTCTTTTTATATTTATATATAAAATTTTATATATAAAAGATTTTGCATCAAAATTTCAAACCACAGAAGTAGGCGTTTATGAAAAATGTTTTTTGTTGTTGTTCTAGGACTGGAACTTTATTTCACAATTTGTTCACAATTTTGCACAATCATTTTACTACAGCGCTAATAAATTATATTAAGCTTAGATATATTATTTTTATTTGAATATATACAAGGTTTTTTAAATAATTTATTTTTTTTAATTTAAACTATATTTTTTAAACTATATTTCATTTAAACTATATTTAACAACATCAACACATTTCTTATTAATGAACACTAATTAAATGCACAAACCAAAAATGAAGATTTTGCTACACGCGCTAAGACATGTTAAGTATAAACAATCGACATGAAAAGAATAATGTTCAACATCGACATGTTATGTACAGACGGGACCGTTTTTTTGAACATTCTCGCGGAATTCATTAACTCAGTAGGGGTGAAAGATACACTTCGCATGAACCGCTAAAGTACTTCTAATTCTTGTCTAGATATTTTTTTTTTCATTAAAAAAAGACAACTTTAATTCCTTTCGCAAACATAAAAATACATAGCACGAATCGGTGGCCTCGGCAGCCAACGTTCTTGTTGGGGAACTTTATTAGCTATCCAACTGTTCTCGAAATTGACTTCAAAAATTTGCTGATAACTTCAGCGTTCTGAGGTTGTGCCTCGTCTTGCTGGAAAAATATATTTTCTAGTTCCATTAGGGGCTGATCATCCATAAGTGGTCTAAAGCTTACTTGATAAAAGTGACAAACTTTTAAAAATTCTGTATTTCGAATTATAATTACAGTTGAGGGTTAGAACCTTTGGTGTTACACAGCAAAATAATGATTTAGTGTTTTTATTTTTCGAAGGATAAGATCACAAAATATCAAGTGTGCTATATTTTTGGAAAGGTAATTTTAAGTTCCTTTCAGTTAATTAAAAATATACAGGGTGTCCTAAAATAAAATAATCAATTTGTATGATTTTCTGTTGATGCAATCTTAAATTTATAAATAAAAAAAAAAAAAATATATATGATATTATAGTATATAATATATATTATCGTATTATGATAATTCTATATATATAATATATATATATATATATATAATACATATATATATATAATATATAATATATATATATACTTTTTTTTTTTTTTTTTTTTTTTTTTTGATAAAAAAATTGAGCTCCAGACACCGATATTAGTTTTCGTCTATCTCCTACAGAAAAACATCCAATTTTGATCCACCCTGTACATGTTTTTGCATGTTTACATACAATCTCAAATAATTCTCTTTTGAAAAGACTATTACAAATTGATCTTATCTCTCAAATGGTGGAGGAGGGCGGCTTGGCTCCACAATCGGTATAGCGTAATTTTGAAGTTATTCGTAACAATCAAGTCAAAAGTAACGTACGTCAAAAATTAAAATGTAATTAAATCCTATGAAAGATGTCTTGAACATGTCATAAAACGGAAAACAAACTCGAAACCTATCCATAAAAAAACACACACGCAAAAAAAATGTTGCTTCCCGGCTCTACTATATCTCGATGTCATGTCAGATAACTGATCGATAACTGCCTCACAACCAAATTCACACACGGGCAGTCTATAGGCCGTATTTATAAAAATGAAGAATTTACTTTCAAGTAAAAGGTAGAAGCAAAAGGTAGAAGTAAAAGGTTTTGCTACAATTCGTATTTATAATCTCTACCTTTTCCTTGCAAAGAAATGCTTTGGATAAATAAAGTAAAAGGTACAGAGATTAGCAGTTCGTGATTTTGACAAACTAGTTGAAACTTGCAGTGTGCAATAAAGGCGTGTATACCAGGGGTTTATTTTATTTGTTTCCAATCACATTTTCGTCCTCTACATGTCGCAATTCCTGTTCATCATCTTCTGCATCTTCTTGAAAATCTGCATCTTGTAATTTCGGAGCTGTGTTGTGTAACATAGCACATACAATTATAACTTTAGGAATACTGGTAAATTTCACTCTGCATCCATACTTTAGAATAGGAAATCGCCGTTTCAGTTGCCCAAATGTATGCTCAATCACAACTCGCTCTGGTTTAAGCAGCCTGTTGAAGGCTATCTGATATTCCTCGAGGGGGTTGGGATAGGGAGTCATGAGACATGGCATTATACCATATCCACTATCTTCTAGTAGTATAGTGTTTCTTGTCCATTTCATGACTTCACATACTGCCGAATTCTTCCATATACGAGAATTATGAACTTGTCCAGGCTAACTTGCATCTATACTAGTTATAACACAATTCTGGTCGCATGTGGCCTGCACATTAATACTGCTAAAACCTTTTCGATTTATATATTCGTCTCTAAATTGGGCTGGCTTTTTAATACGAATCTGCGTGCAGTCAATAACCCCAATGGCTGTTGGGAAATCGAACCTGGTCAGCCACTTTTCTTTGGCCTGCATGATTTGATTTTCTGATGTTTTCTGGGACCGAATCCATTCACCAGCCTGTTGTACAAGCTGCTCAAGCACCTCATGAAATATTCTGGACACTGTGGGCTGCGTACATCCCAATTCTTCAGCAATTCCGCTCTGGAATCCAGGATTCGCACAATAACGCAGAAATACTTTCATTTTCTGCACAGGTGATAGGGCTGCTCCACGTGTTTCAAGATCCGCGCCAAGAAAGTGGTCCGCCAACCACACCACATTCTCCTCCTCAAATCTAAATAACGTTTTGAAATCTGATTCACGTATGTCTTGGTTTGTAGTATTTTCTTGTACGTAAATGCACCATATTAGCCATAACAAACACAACACTGAAACCACACAACCAAAGATTACTAGGTAGTTGTTAACACACAAAAACGCTCCTACAAATAGACAATTTTTTACGTTCCGAGCTGTTTGAGGGTTGGCCAACTACTGAAAAGAGTGAGAGAAGTTGTTGTGAACCTAGATTCCTTTTTTAGAAATAAAACCTTTATTTTTAAGCAAGTGCTTCTTTTTATTAATACGAAAAACAAAAAACCTTTTACTTTAAAGCAAATGCATGGAAGACTTACCTTTTCCTTCACTTTTCTTTATGCATATACTTTGAAGGAATTGCTTCATTTTTTGAAAGCAAAAGGTACGGCTTCTTTTTATAAATGCAGCCTTATATTTTACTGTTAGAGGTAACAACTGTTGTTATTTCTAAATATCTGTTGTAAAATAGCAGATAGTTAAATAACAAAGATCTCTACCTTTTCATAGAGCTCATATGTCAACTATTGACTATTAAAACTGAGCCACAAAGACTTCTCTTGTTGATTTATTCAATCATGAAATGAAATCTCAATATTTGTCGAAATAAATAATTTGAAATCAAATAAGGAAACTTTCAGGTTTTGATTAAAATGTCAAAATTAATATTAAATTTTCTCAAAAATTAGAATAAAAAGTGGTTTTAAAGAATTACTATATCCCATCAAAAATATAGAATGTAAAAAGATGCCAAGTTTGGCAACACAATTCTTCCAATATAAAAAGTTGTAAGATCTCATGTCAAACCAAGTCAAGCACCTACGACTTGCCAATTGCAATTGCACACCATACTTTACCAGTAATAGACACCATAATTATAAAAGAATAATCTACCACTTAGGTACATAAATCTAAACAGTGCACTTAAGAATATTTTTTTTAATTATATAGAATATCATCTCGTGCAATTGCCAAGTCATTATTAGTATTACAGAAATAAAAAAGTCTAATATTGATACTAACCCTTTATAACAAAATTTTTGAATAAGTGCTTAAGAAGTAGAAACTAAATAACATAAACTGACTTAATCTGATACGAGATCTTACAATTTTTACAGTGAAAGGATAGTGTTGCGAGATTTTTTTTATATTCAATGTTTTTGATGGGATCTCAGTTCTTTTTGTAGGTTATCTCTATATATCTCTATTTTTTTCTCGCTTAATATATCCTTCAAAATAATATTAAAGAAGTTTGACTAAAGAAAGTAATAATCCATAAACTTTGAATTATTGTATAAAATCAGGTAATATCAAATCGATTAAATCTAGTTTTCTTACGATTTTTGTTGTCGACTTTCGTTATAATCCAAATTTCAACTTTAAAAATGTTCAAATCATCATTTTACCGTTGCTTATTCATAATCATGTTTCTGTCAATTTTACACATATTTTATTTTTTTTCTCGAAAACTATAAGAGATATAGGTATAGATTAGTATAGTAGAAAAATCATGAGATATGAAAGTAGTTTCCAAAAATGTAATATTATACTGGATGTTCCATTTAAAATAACAAATATGCTACCACATTTCAAATGATCCGGAAACAGTGTAAAGCTGATAATATTTTAGATAAAGATGGAGCAGGTGCCCTTTTATGTATATAATGCGCCTCTTATCACCGTTCTCCTATTACCATCCCCGGAAAGTCGGTTACCGGCAGCGGCTAGACAGCAACTTTTAATTCATAAGGATATTTCGAGATTTTTTTATTTTTTCCTTCCATAAGCTTTTTTCTTTCCTGCTTAAGCTTTTCATGCATCCGTTATCTGTTGATGGATAAAAGGAATATTGCTAGATGAAAGGAATATTGCTGGTTGCTGTAGATAATTTTCTCAGTGAAAATACCTAAATAAAAAGGACTTTTCAGGTCAAAAAATGTCAAAAGGACAGTTTGTTCTAAAAAGGACTGTCGTTTTCAAAAAAGGACACGTGGCAACCCTAGTGGGGGTAGTTTTTTTACCCTTCCCGTATGTTTTCTTGATTTGTGTGAAAGCCAAATCTTAAATCACTTAGCAAAACATAGACACCCAAAATCTCATTCAAAACGGGCTAATGGTTCTGAAAATATCTGGAAAAAAATGTGTTTCTTTTCTTAAAGTTTGATACCGTCTAATTGACAAACGAAGCACTTTTGGTAAATTGTGTCTAATGGGCTTATTTTCATTCCAAAAATATGTAGGAATTTTGGGACACCCTGTATAATGCGTAAGAATATCTTTTTTTTACTCTTATTCCTACCAACTAGGTACCTGATTCTGAAACGAGGGATAAAACGCACCATTGCTAAAACATCTGGCTGACCCATCGGCGATGCCTGCTTTCGAAAAATATACTTCTTTTTACTTTTCCAGAGTGGCGTGGCCGAATACGGGTGTTTTGTCTTTCGTTCAGAATTCGAT